CTTCCCATATATAAGAAGAAGGCTTGAGAAAGCAGCTAATGGTATGTTTGGATGCTGAGTGTACCCGAGTTGTTGTTCAGCGGCCTGCCATGTTGTCTGCTGATCTTAGGACTCTTAATAGACTTGAATCAATGGTCTGCTGTGTTGTTCGGTAGCATTGGGACTGTGCCTTTTTACTTGTCAACCTTGGGCTTGTCAGCCTCAGTAGCCAGCAGCTGTCTGAGTGAAGAGAGGTCTCCATCTTCAGTGGGCCAGGAACAGGAAGCAGAACTGAAGCCCAAGGTTGAGGGCCTTTCATCCAGCTCTTAGAGCCTGGCACTTTGAACTTGGACTAATAGCCTCCCAAAACTGTAAGAGTAAACTCCTGTTTGTTCAAGCCATCCCATGTTGGTGTATTCCTGTCGGAGCAGCCCTAGGGAACCAGAACAGGTGGCTTATCTTGGACCTGGCCACCCAGCTGGGCTGCCACTCCTTCCTAGTCACTTCTGTGGGTATAAACAGGTGACTGACTCAGAAGAGCCTCGTTCCAGGGTGGAGCAGGAGACTAGGGCACCCAAGGGGAGGTGGCAGGACCCAGACTTTGAACCTGTCTGAAATCCCAGGCCCAGGAGAGGAAGCTGGTCCCTGGAAGTTTCCCACAGTGGCCCGGGGCCCCAGGACTCTGCTCTACTGGCCGAGGGAAAGCTGTCCAGCCCAGGACCTGGCTGTAGCTCTGGAGCCTCCTGCTTCTGAGGCTGGTCTCCCCGGCCCACCACTGGTGGAGGATGGTACGGCCTGGCACGTAGTAGGTGTGTACTCTGAGGACAGAGTTGCCAAGAAAGGGAAGACACAATCCTACCTTCCCCTTCCTTCTTTCCTTTATCCCCAAAATGTCTGAGCACCTGCACTCACAGAGGCTTTATGGGGAAGACAAAGATGGCTGCCTTCTGGGAGCTCCCAGTCTAAATGGAGAAACAGACACCCAAAAGAAGAAAGGCCAGCACTGTGTAATGAGGTCATCACAGAACACACAGGTCCAAAAGGCGTGGAAGAGGAACTCCACCATCCTAAGGCAATTCAAGCAGGAGTCCCAGAGGAAGTGACATTTGATACGTATTTTCCTGGGGAAGGGCATGCCAGGTGGAAGAACAGCCTATGCCAAGCAGAGTCCTTATATGAGCAGTAAGAGGGTTCTTGTCGCTGAAGAGGGGTGGGATGAGATGGATATGCACAAGGGTGGGTAGGTGAGCTCATGAGGGCCTTCTGTGCTGGCTATAGGAAACTCATGCTCTGGGCCCACGGTGATGACATCAGGAATGGAGGGTCCCCTGGGATGGGCTGCTTGGAAAGGCTGAGTTGGAGAGGCCAGGCTTGAAGCAAGGTTGCCCTGTGGGTCCTAGTGAGAAAAGCCAGTGAGGGCCTGGACTACACTTGGGGAAATGATTTTTGCCAGGAAGATTGATGGCCTGCTGCTGGGCCTGGGCTTGGCCTCCAAGGCTCCTGGGACTCCTTCAGGGGGCTAGGGAAGGCTGCAAGGAGCAGATGGTCCTGATGATTTGTTAGGAGAGAGCTGTGTGTCCAGCAGAGCCAGGAGGCAGGCAGTGGGGGCTGAAACGAGGCTGAGTGAGCCTTTGGCAGCTGGCCCTCAGTGCTCTGGAGAACCCATCCCACCTGAGTCCCTGCAGAGTCTAGGGCTGGGCCCGAGGCAGCCTGTGACCCCAGGGAGGACTCCTCTTGATTGGAGGGAGCTCTGAATTCTGCAGCCCTCTCCCCTCCAGTTTGTGCAAACTCTTAGGGGGCTCCCCCAGCACTCCCAGTGAGCACTGCTAGGCATGGGGCTCTTCTGCAGGAAAGACACATCCAGGAGCACTGCGGAGTGTGAGAGGCCAGAGGAGAGCCCCTAGCTCGGCTTGGGGAATCAGGAAAGACTTCCTGGAGGAGTGGGCACCTGAGCCAGGTCCCAAAGTTCATGAGGACAGGTGGGGGGAGAGAGATGGCAACGGGGATGCCCAGCCTGGAGTCCAGCACAGTATGCAGCCCTAGGGGCTGGATCAGAGCACACATGAGACCAACAGGAAATGAGGTAGGGGAGGTGGGGACCAGTCCCGAAGGGCCCTGTAAACCACATCTGAAACTGGGACCTTCCTTTGTCCCCAGGGCAATGGGGAGCCAGTGAAAATTTCACACAAAGGAGCAACTTGATCATTTTTGCTTTTCAGAAACCTCTGGCTGCCAAGGCAGGCTGCGTGGGGAGGGAGGGCAGTTAGGAGGCTGATGTGAGAATCCAGAGAAAGCCAGCCTTTCTAAGTGGGCAGTGGGTGGCATGCATGGACAGACGGGACGGCTACTAACAGGGTACTGTTGTTGGGGCGTGGTGACTGAATGTTAGGGGTGAGGAGGAAAGATGTATCCAGATGACATCCCACACTTCTGGCTTGGGTGACTGGCAATGGCATTGTGGACAACTGAGAGGGGCAGGTTTAGGGGAGAAGATATAGAGTTTGAGACTGGGATCTGGGGGACACCTGAGGGTGTGTCTATTGGAGAATGCTGTACTGAGCACCTAGTGGGTACTTGGCCCTGGCCCTGTGCTTCACCTCCTTTAGAGTTTGCAGATGGGAAAATGGAGAAACTGAAGCTCAGAGAGGTTAAGCAACTTGCCCAAGATCACAGAGCAAGCCCAAAGCCAGAGCTGAGGTTTCATTTGGGTTTGTCTGATTTCAGATCCAAGATCTTTAGGGGGAACGGTGGGAGGTGAGGCAGGGAGAGCTGGTTGAGAGCCGGGAGAAACTCGAATGTGCAAGGAAGGGGGCTCCCCTCCCCTCATGCAGTGAACACAGCCATGGCTGAAACTGGGCCATGGGGGAGGGCAGGCGAGATGGGGGCCCTGGCTCAGTCACGCTAGCCAGCCCCTCCCTCTGCCCGAGGCTGGCAGGAACAGCAGCATCTATCAAGTCAGAGGTGTGCACCTGGGGAAATAAACACCAATTAACCACCCCGAGGTTTCCGATTAATGAACCTCAGTTGCTCAGGCCTGCTGCTGGGCTCGTTTGGTGTGCTGCTGGCTGGATGTGAGTTGGCAGGAGGCCAGAGTGCCAGGCTGAGCAGAGTGGATCGTTTCTGGTTTAAGAGGCCCAGACTGATTTATGGAGGCATCTGCTTGGTGTCCAGCTTGCTTGAGTGGCCTGGGCTCTGGGTCGAGGAGAGACGGGAGCAGGAGGAAGGGTGCCGAGGAAAAGGGCCCGAGAGAGAGTACAGTACCTGGAGGGGCTCTGGCCAGCTGTGATGCTGCGGAGGACGCAGCCTGGCCACCAGGTGGGCCTGCTGGGTCATCTCAGAGGGGGCCTGGTGCAGGACGCAGGCACAGACTCTGGAGCCAGAGTCGGGTGTGAATCCCGGCTCCAGCAGGACCTCGTGGCCCTGGGACCTCAGCATCTTCACTCCAAAGTCCTGCTGAGCTGCAGGGCTGTCTGAGCAGGTCCCGTTAGAGACCCCCTCTCCAGAGGTGAGGAGCCGGGGCAGTTCACCAACTGCTGCCAGCGGGATGCAGTGTGTCAAGGGCTTTCCCGGGCACATCTGCCTCTTCATCCAAGATCTCAGGTTCCAGTTGAGGAGGCTTGATTTGCACCCTGTGCCCTCTGGGCAGACTGACTGCCTTGTGCTTCTCGAACACAGGCCACTGTTGGAGCTTCCGCTGAGGGAGCAGTGACCGTGTAGGGGCAGGTCAGTCAAAGTGGTGCTGCCCTCTGTGCACACGAGCTGGGGCTGACTCCTTGTCTGCAAGTGACCTGATGAAACTGATCTTCTTGTAGCCATTGGGGCCTCTGTGACAGCCTACAAGCCACCACTGGGGGGTTGACTTGAGCCCATAACTGGGGGGACCAGGGGTTTTGTTGGGATCACCCAGGCATTGGTCCAGCTTCCCGATTTCTTGGCCTTGGCTTGGTTGGGGTCAGCATCTGAATGGTCTGGGGAACAGGCAGCCCTGGTGAGAACAGACCAACAACCCCCAGAGCCAAGCTCAACAGACTTGGGCAACAACACCCAGAGCCAAGCTCCCGGTTCCTGGTCTGGATCAACTGGGGGTGACAGCACACCTTGGCTGTTCCTGTTTGCCGGGCAAATCTTCAGTCCTCAGGACCTTCCTGACCCAGTCCCACCCCGTCTCTGGCCAGCCTCTCATCCTCTGGGACCCAGCACTCTGCTCCAGGCGGTCTCCTGGTCCAACTACCAGCTGTGCCTGTCTATTAGCCTCCAGGCCTGGCCTGTGCTGCTCCCTCTGCCCCTCCAGCTCAGTTCCTCTCTCTTGGATAGAGGTCGCCCTAACTACCAGCAAGCTTGCTGGCCTGTCCACCTCCGAAAGCCTCTGATAGCTGGGGAAGCCACCAATGATCAGCAAGGATCGGAACCCCGCTTAGCCCATCACCTGGTATTGGTCCTTCTCTTTCCCAGGTGACTTACTGAGCACATGGCGCCATGTGCTCACCCAGGAAAGACCCTCCCTCAGTGCCTGAGGACTGATCACAAGAACACAGGCATTCATTCACTCAGTAAGTTCTATGGGATCCTACCGACCCTGTCCCAGGGACACTGGATGCATTGATGTCTGGAAACCTTGGCAGAGAGGATGCATTTACCAGCTGTCTGGCCTCAAGCAAGTGCTTTTATCTGTCTTGCATCTAAAAAAGAGGGGGACAATTAATAGCACAGACAGTGAGGATTTTACTGCAAAGACTAAATCAAAGGGCGTGTAGAAAGTGCCTGCTGGCACATAGTAGGTGCTCAGCAACTGTCACCGCCATCCTTTGGAGGACTCCTTATAGTGAGCGTGCTCTCATATCAGGCTTGGTGGCAACAGCATGTGTGAATCTGGAAGGCGGATCCAGGCTCCAGCCCCAGCTGTCTGGTTGGCTGACCTGGCAAACCTCAGCCAATAGTGACAACGGAGCCATCATTTCCAGGGCTTTTGTGAGCACTTGGGAGTGTTTTTCTCCAAGCGTTTCACGACCATCTGCCAGGTGGGCAAGGGGGGCTGTATTTGGCCCCTTCACTCACTGCTGTCCTCCCACCTAGAGTGTCGCTAAGTGTGCCGTAGGTGCTTAGTGAGGGTTTCTAACGTGAAAGAAGAAACCAAAACCAACCCAATTCCGTCAAGTTAATTCTGACTCACTGTGACCCCCATTGGGTTTCCAAGGCTGTAAATCTTTACAGAAGTAGATTGCTTCATCTTCCTCCCACAAAGCAGCTGGTGGGTTTGAACTGCTGACCTTGTGGTTAGCAGCCAAATGCTTTAACCATTATGCCATGAAGGGTGAGGTCTGAAGAAAGGGCCCACCCAGAGGGGGAATCTGTCCATGTGGATCTTCTCCTGCCTGGCCCCGGCTCCCTTCCCTGCACTGCGCCGTCTCTCAATCACTCAGCAGCAAGCTCTCTGCCCTGCCCTGGCCGGCCCAGCCAGCCAACGGCCCACTTGTGGGTTTCTGACTCACTCCAGTGGCTGAGGCTGACTTTAGCTGGCTGGTTCTTCAGACAGACTTGGGGTTTCAGAAAAAAAATCCTGGCTGGAAACGGGGAGAGAGGAAGATTGGCTGGTTGCGTGGCTGGACCCCAGAAGCTGTCACTGTTCACTGCTATATGGCCGCAGAGAGAGTCCACAGTCCACCCTTCACTTACTGCAGGGATGGGCTTGCGAGTGGGCAGGGAGGTCACCACAGGGATGGAGGCTGCTATGGGGGACGTCCCCTGCTTTCCAGGTGGAGAGGGTTTGGTCCCCAGGGAGGGCTTGTTAGGCGTTAGCCATTGGCCCTGTGGCAGGCGGTGCTGGAAGGGCAGCTTCCTGAAGACTGCACCCCCCACCCCCTTGGCTCTGCAAATGCACAGTAGCCCACCTGAGGGGACAGTCCTCCACTGACCAGTCAGGCCCCAGGCAGCCACGGCAGGCCCCCACCAGTCTTCCCCCCAAGACCCTGGAGCTCTCGTTCCTAACCTTTGTTGAGTGCAGACTCCACTGGGAATGGACCCTCTGGTACACACACACTCTCCACGTGAAGTCTCACATTGTTACAGCACATTCCATCTTTCGTTACTGCTGCCCTTGAGTTGGCTCCAACCCACGGTAGCCCCATAAGTGTCAGAGGATAGCTGTGCTCCATGGATCATTTGGAAGTAGATCACCAGGCCTTTTTCCCAGGTTCCTCTGGGTGGCCTTGACCTTTTGACGACCACTTGAGAGCACTAACTATGGGTACCACCCAGGGACTCCTCGTCTTTACCAAAGACTCACTGCCATCGAGGCGACTCCAACTCATAGCAACCCCCTTTGGGTTTCCAAGGCAGGAAATCTTTACGGAAGTAGATTGCCCAGTCTTCCTTCTGCAGAGTGGTTGGTGGGTTTGAACCGCCAACTTTCTGGTTAGCAGTCAAATGCCTTAGGCACTATGCCACCAGAGCTGCTTCCTCAGCTCTCAGGGCCCATTAATTAAACTTCTTAGACCTGAGGTTCAGCAACCTGGCCTCAACTCTTCAGGGTGTTCAGCCAAGAGAAGGCTCCACTCCCTCCTACCCCTGCCTCTCCTTTGCCCTGGACTGCCCCCTGCCAAGTCCACCCCAGCAGCCATGGGCAAACGGGGCTGTGCTCAGGCCCAGGTCCAGCTTGAATGAACCTCCTGGGCCTGAGGTGGGCAGGCTTGCTTGGAAGGAGGTAAAGTAACACGGACAAGAAGGGAGAAAAGTCGCCCTGCCACACCCCAGCTTTCCCGTACCCTCCAAGCCCAGGGCCCACTGCTGGTAGCCAGCAGCACCCCACTTACGCAAGTGCAGCTTGGGTGTCATGGAAACACTTCATTGCTTTCTCTGGCTCTGCCAGTCTTGGGGGCTACACTTTCCCTCCCCCAGACCTGCCAACCCGGAAGGGGTCTTCTGCTTCTCCTCTTACTGGGATCCTGGAGGCAGGCCCAGGTCCATGTCTCGTGCCTCATACCCACAGCTTCCTGCCAACCCACTGCCATTCAGTCAATTCTGACTCATAGTGACCCTATAGGGCAGTACAACTGCCTTATAGGGTTGCCAAGGCTGTAAATCTTTATGGAAGCCAGCTGCCTCATTGTTATCCCAGAGTAGCTGGTGTGTTCAAACCACCGACTTTCTGGTTTGCACCCAAATGCTTTAGCCACTGTGCCACCAGGGCTGCTTTTCACACCCACAGACACCCTTTTTTCCTTCAGGGTCTGGGGAGCAGCTGGTTTCCATGCATTCAGTTCAAACCATATAAAGATGGGATTTGGGAAACAAACTCCCCTCCTCTGAAGAGTAGCCAGGGATTCTGATTGGTTGAAAGGGAAAAGGGGGTGGAACTAGAGCTGAGAATATAAAAATGGCCAAGACACAACATGAAAAATGTCCTCAGTGTTCCTGAGCTGTAAATGTGGAAGTTATGTTGGTGAATGTCTTGGTGTGGCTGTTTTTACAATAAAAGTTTTATTATTTTTTTTTTTTAAAGGAGGAGGCCAAGCACCAACAGGACACTGAATCACCCAAAAAATCTCTTTGTATTGTAGTCAAACAGCCTGTTGGAGAGGAGCAGCCTGGCAATGCCTCTGTGGCACACCTTCTGCCTGTCCACAGCCCACAACAAAGACAATGTCTGCTCCTGGGGGTGGTGGCTAGCGGCTGTGTGCTGCAGTTCCTGCCCTATTAATAGGACCAAAAACGTTCAGAGTTGTTTTTTTTTTTAACTTTTTATTGTGATTTGGGTGCAATTTTACAAAGCAGATTCGTTTTACACTCAACAGTTCATACACGTTGTTTCTGACACTCATTACAACCCCCACAATGTGACAGCTTTCCTCCTACCTCCTCCTGTGACGACTCCTTCCCCTTGTCCTTGTTACCTGTGTTCCCGCCTGCCTAGCTTTCTCCTGTCCAAATGCTGCCGTGATAGCCCATGGCTGACTGTTCTAAGGGGTTTATCTCCCTGGTGTAGGTTATAGGCCTATCGTTTGGCTGGGTTAAGCCATGGAAGTGTCCAATTCCAGGCCCAAAGGGTGACTCAGAGCCATAGTCTTTGGAGTTTCACCAGTCTTTTCGACCAGTAATCCTAGTCTTTTTTGCTTTTGAATTTTGGTCTACATTTTTTCTCCCATCCTATCCAGGATCTCCAATTTGGATCCCTTTCCAAATGGCTGGCATTGGTGGCTGGGCACCACCTAGTTCTTCTGGTCTCAGGGTCCACTAGTCCCTATGCCTAACTGTTTCCAAGCATCTTTTTCCTCTTGTTTGCTCTGGATGAGAAGAAACCAATAGCTCCACTTAGATGGCTGTCTGCAAGCTTTTAAGACCCTAGTTGCTACTCACCAAAGAAGGAACAATGTCTCTGTATACTGTGTTGTGCCAACTGAGCTTGATATACCCTGCAACCATGGTCCCAAGCCTGCACACCCACTGACTTACTCCCTCAAGGTGCTTGGTTGTGGCTAAGATTCACAGTGACTTTTGAGTCTCTATTAGTGTATTAGTTTCCTCTTGCTGCTAGAACAATGACCACAAACTTATTTGCTTTAAACAACACAGATTTATTCTCTTACAGTTTTAGAGGTCAGAGTCTGAAATCAGTTTCACTGGGCTGATGTCAGCGTTGGCAGGGCTGGTTCCTTCAGAGGCTCTTAGAGGAGAATCCATCCCCTTGCCTTCTCCAGCTCCTGGAAGTGCCGGCACGCCTTGGCTCATGATCCCTTCCTTGTATCACTCTAACTTCTTGCCTCTGTCCTTGTATCTCCTACTTCCTCTCTGATCTCCTGTCTCCCTCTTACAAGGACTCGGGGATTACACTGGGCCCATCCCGCCATCTCAAGATCCTTAACTTAATCACATCCACAAAGTCCCAAGTTCCTGGGATCAGAAGCATAGGTACCTGGTGGGGGCATTATTCAGTCTACCCCAAGTGCTATACCCCTTGGGCTCTGACTGGCTGGGAAGAAAAGGTTAGGGATTTTCTACTTTGGGTTCAGTGGGACCCTTTCTAACCTTGTATTTTCAAGGTCTGGGCTTCACTAACCCCCCCATCTACCCAAAGCTGCTCACAGCTCTGTCTCCCTAAAACTCAGGTGACAAGTCCAAGTGCTGGTGAGAAGGGGCAGCGCCAGCTCAGAGGACCCCCTTCCAGCCTCCTGGGCTAGGGTGTGCTTGCCCTAAGCCCATACCCTACTGACTGGACAAGCCCATGGCCTAGAAGGCAAACAGAAGAGTCTGGGGCCTGCGAAGGGTCCCGGGGAGGCCAGTCAGCACTAGAGTGGCTGGCTATGGGAGAGCGAGGCTAGCTAGGACAGCAAGTGGCAGCCGGAGAGGACAGGCGGCGGCAGAGGCTGGCCTGGTGCTGTAGGAGCCAGACAAAGAAGCTGGGGGTGGCAGTCTCAGCCCACAGAGATGATGGAGACTGTGGTGAGAGCATCCCTGCTCCCACCATCTGGAGGGGAACACGAGGCCCTCACCAGACAAGGGAC